TGGAAGTCTTTGTGGTCACAGAATGAAAGAAGTTTCCTCTCTGTCATCCATTTCAGACAGATTCTGGGTGGACAGCCACAAGACGCCCAGGTGTCTTCTCTGACACGGGAATGGCCACAGGCACATTCACCCCCTGCCTTGCTTTTCTCCTCTGGAAAAATGAGAAGCGTCTTGCTTCATAGGCTCGTCTGATTGAGGCATGGAAAACCCAGAACAGGGCAAGGCACACGTTAAGGGCTCAAACACGGAGCTGCCATTTTACCCCACACGAAACACCAACGCTGGACCGGCTACGCCTCTCCCCCTGAGGGCTGGAACCATGCAGGTCCCCCGGCCACAGAGCACAGGTCACACTCCACCTCCAGCCAAACCCATCAGTCTTAGGACCGCTCTGCCGTGGACCCGTTCAGAACCCCGGGGAAATCCTGGGAGCAAAGCACACGCTCTAGAAACCTTTTTTCTTTAAAAAAAAAAAACTTTCATAATAAAGTTTATTACCTAAACTGGCTGTAAAAAATATAAAATAGGATTCTGCACAGCAGAAAAATAAAGCCAGAGACCCTCCCCCAACCCCTGGTTTGTGCAAAGATACTAGGTATATGTAAACATGAAGAGGTAGGAGGTAAATTCAGGTCCTGGCCCCACATACAGTTAAGGTGCTGCAACAACCAGGGAGATCCAGAGGGAGCACCGGGGGGGTGGGGGGTGCGCCCCCGCCCCCAAGACATGGGGAGGGGTCTGCGGCCTCGTCTCCAGCTGAGAAGGGGAGGCGCCTCGCCTCCACACCGGCTCCCTCCAACCCAGGTGGGGAGGGCACCCACGTGGTTCCAGGGAAATAATAATTAATAATAACAAGGCCCTCGAGTTAATGCTGCGTGCGAGGCCGGTCAGATCTGAAAGGGGAAGGAGCTCAAGTAGTCGCGGAGGACGGGGTTGAGGGGGATGCGCGCCAGGTTCTCGCGGCCCACGGTGGCCACGATGCGCTGGCGACACAGCTCCTGCAGCGGCCGCACGCGGCGCTGGCGCAGCGGGGCCCCGAGCATGCGGCGCGGCGCCGCCACGTAGTGTTCCAGCAGCTCGAAGAGGCAGTCGAAGCTCTCGCGGCTGCCGTCCAGGTGGAAGCGGCCGGCCTGGAAGTGCACGCGGATGCTCGTGGGGCCCGAGGCCATCTTCACGCTGAGGGCGAAGAAGCAGTTCCGCTGGCGGCTGTCGCGCACCAGGAAGGTGCCCACGGGCTCGGCGCGCAGCCGCTCGTGCGCCCCGTGCACGCTCAGGGGCCCCCAGTAGAAGCCGCAGGCGTCGAGCAGCGCGCTGGCTCGGGTGATGCGCCGGTACTCGGCGTGAGAGCGGAACGTGCGGAAGTGCGTGTCGCCGGGGGCCGGGGCCGGGGCCGCCGGGCAGGGCCGCGGGCGCGCGGGGACCGCGGGCGCCGCCGAGGGCGAGGGCGGGGACGAGGACGAGGAAGGCTCTGGCCGCCGTCGGGACTCTGCTGCCGTGGAGATTGCATTGTCGGCTGCCACCTGGTTGTGTGCTACCATCCTACACGCGGGGCCGGCCGGAGGGGTGGGCCATAGCGTCCGGGGGTGCGCTGGGGGAGACACGGGCGGTGAGCCGAGAGTCGGGGCGGGCCCGTCCGAAAGGGCCGAGGGGCGCAGGAGCGGGTCGGCGCGGCCCCCTGGAGCCTCAGGGGGCTCAGCTAGCAAACGGGCCTCCCCGTCCGCGGAGCTCCTCCAGGCGGTTGGGGGCCCGGCAGAGGCGGAGTCCGGCCGCCAGGTCGCTCAGAGTTTGGGTGAGAGAGGGGGGCGTGGAGAGAGGTGCGGGGAGCAACCTGCCCCGACTGCGGCCACCGGGCCCTCGGCTCGCCGCCTCGCGGCCGCCGCCTGCTGGCCAGGCCGGGGACGGGCGCCTCGTCCGGGCGGTTTGGACCAAGGCAGAGGAGCTGCGCTGCGGGAACCCCGCGCGCGGGGGGCTGCTAGGGTGGGGCCGGCGGGGGCCAGGGGCGTGGCGGCCGCGACCCCATCATGCGGCCCCCGAGGCCGGCCTGACACCCGGCCGTCCTTTCCTGTCCTGTCTTCCCCTCTCCCTCCCGCTTCCTTGCCCAGTGCCCGGCTCACCTGGCGGCGGGGCGCGGGGCGCCGCGGGCGGGGCGGCGGGGGGCTCCGGGGCGGCTCTCGCGCATGCTCCGGGGCCGGGAGCCGTGCAGCTGCCACGGCCGCAGCTCGCTCTGCTCCGCGCCCGCCCCTGCACCAGTCTTTTATTTTAAACTGGGTAGGAGGTGGGGCCCTCTGGCGGCGGCCCCGCCCCATAAGGCTCCACCCCCCGCAGGCCCCGCCCTTCCGCGCCACTTTCGGTTTCTTTTTCGGCGGTGGAGCAAGGCGCGGGCCACACGAGCTCGACCTTTCGCAAGCCATAAGGGACCCTCCGCGGGGAGGCACCCCCCCTCCCCTGACCCAGCCTCACACCCATCCTAGGACCCCTCCATCAAGGGCTCTGGACCCCCTGCCATTCCGATGTCCCCTTTGCACCTGGAGCCCCTACTTTTGCCCCCACTACTGCCCTAGGGCGCAGATTTGTGCAGCGAAGCCCTTTTAGTATACACTGGACTGGCTCCGACACACCCCTCTCCCCTCCCCCCACCAGGTATCTCGGCACCGGTCTCCGGTAGATCTCTGTTCTCCATTCCCCTGTAGCCAGGCCGCACCTCCCGATTCTGGGGTCCCACCTGCCGATCCGGCCCCGGACCCCTTGGGGCTGCTCCCGCCGTCCCCCTGCCGCCCGCAGCCCCAAACCCTCGGGCGGCTGTCCCCCCGCACCCCTCCCAGCCCGTCACTGGCCCTGGTCTTGGCTTGGGCTTCCCAGGAAGCGGCGGCCTGACCACAGGCTTCAGAGGAACCCTTCGGAAGCGCGAGAAAGGCGCCTCGACTGCGGATCCGAGTTCCTCGGAAACCGGGCGGGGCCGTTAAGGGCAGCTTTGGCTCCGCTTCCCCGCCAGGGGACAGCTGGAGAAACTGAGGCCCCGCGGAGGGGTTGTGATCTGCAGCGACTGGCAGATGAGGGGTGGGGTTCTGGATGAGCATGCCCTCCTCTCTTATTTTGGGGAGAGAAACAGCTGGGCACCTCCAGACGCACTTTGGAGCCGGATGAAAAGATGGTTCATTGATGTGATGATTCCAAAAACCTACCTTGAGTTTTCCTGGCCTGCCCTCCTCTCCCCCAACTACTACTTTACAGAGTCCTCTCCCGCTGCTCGGTCAAGCATCTGCCGCCACTGCCGCCACCCCGCACTCAAACCTCTGGTTTGGGATCATGGGGGCTTGATGGTGCCAGCTATACTTTGTACATCCGTGTGCGTGATCCGGTGACTTTGTCTGTCGTGGAGAAGCACGGAGTACGTGCCTGGTTGGTACGTGTATTTTTGAAGGCAAGAAAGAACTAATGAGGGTCGGGGCTAGTGCGTGGTTAGTCCCAGACTCTTCAGGGGTTACGCAGAAGACTGACATGGCTGGGGGCTTGGCGAGTGGCTTCCCGCTGGCACATACTGCCCTCTACAGGCCGTTCTCAGACCGCAGCCCAGCCCTCTCGTCTCCTTGAAGCCCTAATGGGTTCTAAGTCCTCCAGCCCATCCCCTTGGTGCTCTCCTTCCCTGGCCCCAGGCTGCCCACGTTTCCCTCTTAAACACAAGGGGATGGCCCAGAACCAGCCTTACTTAGGACCCCATCAGCTCCCGGAATTCATGTTGGCAGGAGCTGGTATTGGTCACTAACGTAGTTGTCCTGTGTTGTGTGTATATATATGTGTGTGTGTGTGTGTGTGTGTGCGTGTGTGTGCGCGTGCGTTAGTGTGCAAGGAGGTGGGAGACAAGGTGTGGAGACGTGCATGTGCCAGTGGTCAGGTGCTGTGGTCATTCCGGAGGACCTACCTGCTGGTGCTGTGCCCTGTGGTGGGGGTGGAAAAAAAAAAAGGTAGTGGCTAAAAGTCTGACTTTGGACCCAGACTACATGGATTCCAGTTCACCTGTACCACTTTCCAGCCTTGTGATTCTGAGCGTGTAATTAACCCCTCGACTTCAGTTTCTCCATGCGTGAAACAGAAACAAAAATAGTACCTCCTTCCTAGCAGCAGGGATTATAGGGATTATGGGTCAAACACTCAGAGCCATCCCTCATTATAATAAGCATTCAGCAGGTGTTCGGTCTTGCTCTGTTCCTCTGAGGGTGCCTGCGGGCAGCGTGTTAGGTCCTGTAGCCACGTGGTAGGTCCTGTAGCCACGTGGCTTCATGCCATGTCCGTTTCAATTTGTTTTTAATGTTTATTTAATTTTGAGAGTGAGAGACTGAGCGCAGGTGGCTGAGGAGCAGAGGGAGAGGGAGGAGACACAGAATCCAAAGCAGGCTCCAGGCTCCAAGCTGTCAGCACAGAGCTCGATGCGGGGCTCAAACTCGCGGACTGCGAGATCATGACCTGAGCCAAAGTTGGACACTTAACCGACTGAGCCACCCAGGCGCCCCGTTTTAATATTTATTTTTGAAAGAGAGAGCGTGCGCATGTGCACATGCATGAGTGGGGGAGGGGCAGAGAGGGAGACACGGAACCCGAAGCAGGCTCCAGGCTCCCAGCTGTCAGCACAGAGCCCCACAGGGGGCCTGAACTCACGAACCATGAGATTATGACCTGAGCTGAAGTCACTTAACCGACTGAGCCACCCAAGCGCCCCATCCCTGTGTCCACTTTAGAAGCCCTAACCCAAGGGCCACAGGCCAGAGAAGGCATGGGCGAAGCAGGAGGAAGAGAGTTTTGTGGGGATAAACCAGGGCTCTGGATGCTGGCAGTGGGAAAGGGTAGCACTTCCCTCTCACCTGAACTGGGGGCGGTGGTCTGGGCCCAGAGAAGGCCAGGCTGGGCTGGCTCCTGTACGATCTGTCTTCCTGCCACCAGTCTCCTCAGCAGGCCTCTGGGCAGAGGGAAATCTATAAATAGCTGATGGTCCGTATGCCCCCTTAACCCCCACTGGCAGGGGGTTCGATGGCTCTATGGGAGAGCCACCCCTTTCCTTGGGGTCTGGAGCCCCCTTCTCACAGCCCCGTCTTGTTGCCACACTCCCACCCATGCCTGTGAAGGAAGCCCCCCTCCTCCATCCCATTGACTCATACCTGTGACGTGTTGGCCTGAGGTGACTGTGTGCCACATGCTTTACAGTCCTTAGATCATTGGATTGGCGTAACAATCTAATCTGCCCATTTTGCAGACAGAGAAACTGAGGCTCAGAAGGGGAATCGCTTGCCTTGGGGCACACAGCTCAGAAGGGGCACAGCTGCAGGATATATCAGACCCCCCAAAGCTTTCACCCGTGTCCACCGTGCTGTCAGCTCCCTCCCCCAGTTCCTGGTGATCTCAAATCCTGGTCTGCCTGCTAGAAAAACAGTAGATGCCAGAGAAATCAGAGATTCATCCGTATCCTGAGCCTGCCTGGGCAGGAGTGGGGACGGTTCTGCCAGCTTCCCTCTCACTTCGGAGCTTGAGGAGGCCCCAGGTGTCAGCGTCTAGGCCTCCACCTCGCCCTCTGTGGCTCTGAATTCATCCTTGAGCGCCAATTTCTTGTCCATACAGTGGGCTCGGCCCCATCCTCCACCCTGACCAGATCCTGTTTGTGAAAGCCGTGGTGACTCAGGCTCAAATCACTGAGCACACGGCCAGGACACTTACCGCCAACAGGACAGCCACTCTAGCTTTGGTTTCATTTTCTGAAGCCCTGACTTCAAAACGAAACCAAATCCAGATGCCAAAAGGGAAAAAGAAATCGGTTGATTGACAGGCATCTGCCTTCTTGGCATTTCTCCCCGGAGGACTGGCCCCAGGCTCGCAGGAAGCTGGGCAGCGCGGGAGCCCCGAGGAGCTCAGGCTCCACGTCAAGACAGGGCTGCGTTCCGATCCCACGCCTGCTGCTTCCCAGCTGTGTGACCTTAGGCAAGCAGCTTGCCTTCTCTGGGCCTTGTCTGCCCCGTCTGCAAACAGTCCCTGAAAGTTCTGGCCCTCGCACAGCAGCAGTGCACACCGAGCCCAAAACAGAGTGCCCGGCAGAGAAGGTGCTTGGCACAAGTGACTTCTTGTCACAGGGCAGTTGAGACAGCCCTCTGTCCACAGCTTGCTGGGCGGCAGCCTGACATGTGGGGCCCCAGCCGGCAGCAGTGGGGAATCAAAATCCTGGCCCACAGGGCTCAGTTTTTCAGCTTCTCTTTCCAGCTTTGGCCAAGTTCTGCCGGGAAAAGCTGTCCCTGGCTAGGGCATGCGATCCTGAAGTTGTCCTCTGCCCCGGTGTTCCTCCATCCCGCCTGCCTCCAGCCTGTGGTGGCAGCCCGGGTTCCCATGGGAGGCGGTGCCTCTGGGGAGCCCCGAGCAGTGTGGCTTACATCGTGGAGACGGCTAACCATCAGCCTGGGTTTAAGCCTGTCACTTAATGAGCACGGGGCCTGGGACAAGCTTCTTGGTTTCTCTGTGCCTCCGTTTCCCTATCTGCAGGATGGGGGTAAGAGCGCATCTATTTCCGTCCTTCGGTATTCGTTCAGCAGGTTAGTTGTCGAGTGCCCGCTGTCTGCCAGGCGCTGGGAACTCAGGGGTCTTCAGGCAGACAGACAGGAGGCAGGGAATTCACATAAGCATTTCACACTGTGCTAAGTGCCACGGGGGAAATAAACGTGGGGACAGGGAGCGACGAGAGGTATGCGGGTTTGGGGCAAGAGTGAGATCAGGCAGAGAAAGCCTTTTAGATGGTGACGGAGTTCAGATCTTTCTAAAAGTGGGCTGAAGGTGACTCCGGGCACAGAGATCAAGCAGTTCATGCAAAGGCCCTGCGGTGGGAATGATAGGCGTGTGTGAGGACCCGAGAGAGGGCGTGGTGTTGGTGTAGACAGCAAGGGGGGTGAGCGCAGGGGTTGGCAGGGGTCCAGTCCGTCCGGCGGGTCCCGGCTAGGAGATGGGAAGGGCTTGGATTTCACCCTGACGGCTGGAGCCAGTCCTTGAGGCCCAGGAAATACTGTAGGATTGGATATGGAAAGAACCCTCTGGCTTCTGACCTTCCAGACAGCTGGGTCTTCAGCCACAGTGACCTGCACTAGAGGCCTTGGGACATACCTCACAACTGTCCCTGACCTGCCAGGGTGTCACCACCCTATTCTCCCAAGTGGGTGCAAAACCAGTACCAAAGGACAGCCGGGGGACATTGTAAGAGAGAACACTGCTTGGGGAGTCCAAGGCCTGAGTCCTGGGGGTCAGCCCTCACACTCTGGGAGACCTTGGGAGAGGAATCACAGTTTACCGGGCCCCCACCTCTGGGCCGGGTGACAACTTTTTGGCATATTGTCTTACTTGCTCTTTCCCACGGTCTTATGAGGTGGCAGTAATTAGGTGCCCTCATTTACCAGAGGAGAAAAGCGCTACTCAGTGAGCTGGTGGAACGCGAACAGTGTTTCGGAGAGGCTGAGCCCCACCTGAGGCCTCTGTCTGGAGAGGCCCCTGCTTCGCTGTGGGGCGTGGAACCTGGTCCCAGCCGGTCCCGACAGCGGGAAAGATCGCGGCTTCCAGGGAACGCGTGCGCCCCCCGGGACCCTCGAGTCCAAGGAGAAGGCTCTCCTCTACAGCAGAGGAGGCCGAAAGGCCAGGAGGGGTAGCACGAGCTGGTGACTGGACTCCAAAGTGACAACAGGAGGGCTCCTCCCTGGTCCTGGGGAGACTTGATGAGAACCTTCCAGCGGTCTCTTTATCCCCCTGCGACAGGTGGGGAAAGAGGTAGGTCAGAGACGAAGTGTAGGCAGAAAGTCGGGGCTATTGTATTAATAACTCCGAAATAGGAGGGGCAGGAAAGAGGGTATCTGAGGGCGTTGGTCACGGAGCCCAGACATACCTGGTTCCAGGCCCAGCTCCCCCCGCCCCCCCCCCCCCCAGTAAGTGTGATGGCCTCAGGCAAATGGACTTAATCCAGAGGCCCCAAGAACCCTCACGAACTCCAAGCATGGTGGGCCTGGCAGTTCCGTTTGGCAGTGGACAGAGGGCAAAAGAGAATGTGTAAAAGCTATGAAACCAGACACGGAAACACACACAGCCGGCCGGGACATCGGGAGTCGGGGCCAAGGATGACTCCTCACCTCACCCCGCTGCTCACTGTGAGAAAGCTACTGCCAACGGCAGGTACCGCGGCTTGAATTGGTCCCCGTTCTCAGGTTCGGGAGGCATCTCGTCTCCGGAGGCTCGACAGTGGCCCGTGACCTGGGAGGCCCAGTGCCCGCTGGCACAGAAGAGGCACCCGGCCAGGCCGGCAGGGCCCCGAGCGGGCTCTGGGACGAGGTGATCCTGGACCCGAGTTTGAAAGACCAGGGAGGACGTGGCCAAGGGACAAGAAGGGAGTGTGCTTCTGGAGGCGCACGGCACGGGCAGAGGCCTGGAGACAAAACTCTGAGGACCCGAGTGGCAGGTGGCAGGAGATGAGGCTAAGCAGGAAG